TCTCTCTGTGTGTGTGTGTGTGTGTGTGTGTGTGTGTGTGTGTGTGTGTGTGTGTGTGTGTGTGTGTGCGTGCGTATGTCTTGAGTGTGTGTGTGTGTGTGTGTGTGTGTAGGTGTGTGGGTGAATGGCTGTGTATCTGTGCGGGTTCAGTGACCGTCTTCCAGCGTGACACCACATACTGTGGAGAAGTACGCATACACAGAGTGGTGGGGGAGAATCATGGGCGGGGCTGAGGGAGGGAGAGACCGAGCAAGCGATTGAGAGGGGCCACAAGCAGAGACAAGAGGTGGAGTGGTAGCAGATACATCACTTACCTGATTGGGAGTGGTGAAATAGGTGATGACCTTACAAGGCGCCTTTCCTATGTACACATCGTTGCTTCCGACGTAAAGGTCGGAAGAGAAACCGCTGCCTGTTATAGTGAGCAAGGTTCCCCCTTCAGTGCTGCCGAAAGCAGGTCCGATATTGTTTATGACTGGCTTAGGCTGAGCCAACGCGGGCTGGCTGAACAGAAAACCAGTTAGCCACCCCATGACCAAGAGCCAGAAGAAGCCGATCGCACGGAACCCATCCAGCGAAGCTGGTTTCCTCAGGCATTCCGCCCAGGACTGCCGTTGTGACACCATCTTCTTCTTTTCCGGCAAGATCTCCTTCCTTGCTTCGTCAACAGCACGGCTATGGCGATGGCTATGGCGATGAACGGCATCCATTCCCACAGCTTCCCCCTGGTGGTGGTCGTTCACGCCAACAGATGCCGATGGAGCAGCCTCCATCATTGCCGTCGTCGTCCTCCTCGCAGTTCTGGCGGCGTCGTGGAGGGTGTGCGACACCAGAGGATCCCGACTTCGAAATCGGCGCGGTCCTCGACCGTGGGGATTGGGATCCCACGACACCAACAGCAAGTCCTTATCTGATCTCCCAGGTCCCACCATGCCCACAATTCCCTTGAAGGTCCCCAACCGTCCCCCGCCGTCTTCCCCTTGCTTTTCCCCCGCCTGCCCCCCTTCCCCCCCTCTCTCTTTCTCTGCCTCCCGTCTCCTCTCGCTCTCCCCGCTCCCCCTTTCGTCTTAGGCCCCACCTGCTAGCCCACCAGATGACCCCTCCCCACGGGCTTTCGCAGGTTAAACATCCTTCCTTCACGAGGACACCCGCAGGATCTGATTCAGCTGTTGACGCCCAAATGATATACAGTATCACGCCAACCCTTCCAAGTTCTGAAGAAGGAGGTCACCGCACAAACGGACCCACTCATCCATCGGCAGTGACTACACTACCCGTCTTCCCCCCAATAGAAGGGGGGTAATTATCGCTATATCTAGACTAAAAATTGGCCCAAATACAGGCATAATGACCGTATGTTCCATTCGGGGGAAGACGGGTAGTTATGGTCACAGCGCTTTCGACCGTCTTCTAACGCCTTGCGCGTTCCGTGAGAGCTAATGACCGCTGGCTCCTTGCGTTTCTTCAGATATGACGACCGCTGGCCAATGCTCGCTGTCTGGGCAATGCCGGTTGAGTCGGGTTGACTGCTACTGCTACCGCTGACCGCCGCACTCGTGATCATGACCTTTCCATAACCAGCGTTTCGTGATCGCAAGAGACTACCAAGCGACCTTGGCTCCCAACACAACCAATCCATCTCACAGAGCACTTACACACACTACCATTCACTCGCAGTAGTAGTTTTAGAATGGCACTACATATGCGAGAGGACGGTCCTCATAGGCCAGGCGCTCCCATTACTATTTTTGCTCCAGCTGCTCCTGATGCTCCTGCTGCTGCCGCTGCTGCTAGACTTCCCTCCGCCTCCACTCCTCATCCACTCCACTCGGATAACAAGTCTGTTCTGTGGAAGACGGAGAAGGACGGAGAGGGACGGAGAAGGACGGACTCGCAATAGTAGTAACTGGTCTAGAATGCACTGCATACGTGAGGACGGTCCTCATTGGCCAGGAGTTCTACGTTTTCCCACAACTCTTTTTGCTCCACCTGCTCCCGATGCTCCTGCTGCCCCTGCTGCACTTCCCTCTGTCCCCGCTCCTCAGGACCTCAGCCAATCGGATAAGAAGTCTGTTCCTGTGCTAGACGAGAAAGGACGGAGAAGGACGGAGAAGGACAGAGAAGGACAGAGAAGGACGGAGAAGGATGGTGAACGTCACCAGTTTGCAAACTGGAGAAGTGACTATGACATGTTCTAGACATCTTCCAAATTGAATCAGTGGCCGTCAGGATGGCGGCTCCCGCGCTCTCTTAGCGACCATCCCCTCCATCCATTGACAAGGCGATCTGGCGGTAACCCCAAGGCCCCCAACTTTGGATAATCAATACCCGTTGCACAGGGGTGCGAAACTCGACCTGCCTTCTCGGACCAGCTTTGGATCCTGCGCAGTATTTCCCTTCTGGCTGCAGTTGCGCCACACTTCAATTCAAAAACACACTTCCGTACACCTGTTGTGATTCTGCACGTGTGCTCTCATCCTCCCTAAGGCTTGTCCCCCATTCACGACCTGTGCTCAACTGAATCACCTTAGGTAATCAAATCTCCCTCAGCTGCCCATCCTCACCTGACTTACAAAAATAGGCTACCCGAGCTGCCGAGAAAGAAGGCACAATATGCATGTTCCACACACCTACCGTCTTCCCCCGAACACAACGCACCCTCATTTGGCTGTACCGGACCGGAAATATTGCTTGCATACGTTCAATTTCAGGGTGCGTTATGTTCGGCCGAAGACGGTAGTCCGCGACGCGATGGGCTGCAGTGCAGCTGACCGTTTCCAATTCCACCGACTCTTCAGTGCCCGATGCGACTTGGGCACGGTGTGCACGCTCCCCGTCATCCCCCGAATAGAATGCACGGTCATTATAGCTGTATTCCAGTCCCCCCCTTTCACAGTCTACAGCAGCGGTAATCACCGTACGTGTTCGTGTTCTATTCGGGGGACGGCGGTGCTCCAGACACGGCCTTCCCGCGGCGGAGGTAAAGTCCGCGTTCTTTCTACATTACAGCTGCGATGCATTCATCTTCTGCAGCCGGGATCGTCATTGCATCCACCATGATGTCGATATTCTGCAGCCGGGATCCCTCCACTGCATCCACCATGATCTTGATCTCCTGCAGCCGGGATCCCCATGGCATCCACCATGATCTCCATTTGCGCATGGACTCCCCGGCTCGCCCCAGTCAACGTCCAGACGTCCTTATTACCGTAGTACCCATCACGGCAGCATCAGGGCGTACTCCCACAGCAACTATCTCGACGATATCAGCCCTTCCCAACGTGAGCATCTCCGCAGCACCCTTCGTAGTTGCATCATAGAACATCCATTCCATTCAAATCACGGTGCACATACATCAACCACACCTGCCAAGCACCCTCCTCCTAACAGCAAAAGCTCAGGAAACCGCCACAAACTGGAACTGAGCCTTGACAATCCTCTGGTGGGGCAGAGCAAATAGTACGGCTGGTGATATACATGGACAAAGTACTACAAAACGCAGTGCCCCACTGAGTTGTTCTCGCTGCCAGGAATATGGAAACCCTTAGCCAAATTACTATGATATGGGGCCTCGCTCCACTACTTTCCCAATCTGCAGAATGAGAATGAATACTCCCCTAGAACATGGGAAAGATACACCGCCATATTTTGTGTCTTTTGTGCAGGTGCTGAGTTAGTGGAGCGAGGCCCATGATGTGCCGCCGCCTAAGAATTCAGTTCTGGCAACGCGCGTGCACCGACCACACGGCGCTCTACACTGTCTTCCAGCCTCCCCCTCCCCAGTCTCACCGCCATCCCTCGGGGCGACGGCGCAACGCCACACGGGGGACGGGGTGAAGTGGGAAACAGCCACGTGTGACGGGGATCGGCATGCAGGCGCCGGGACATCCTTGCTACCGATTTTGTCCGTCAGCCGGCCAGACAAACAGGCAGCCAGGGAGCTTGCTTGATGGCCACTGTAGCCGCGTATTAACCATCGTGCCCGACGAAAGGGGAGTCTGTTGCGCCATTGACCTTGAGGCAAACACACTCGCAGTGCAGCTGGGACTCATCGGCCTGCGGGAGGCCAGCTGCCCGCCGGATTGAACGAGACAAGTTCCGCCATTCATTCAGCCATTTTCTGTGCTCGCGTCAAATGATCAGGTCAGGTGGTGCTTGGGTCGCCATAAGTAAGACGTGGCTTCCCCCAAACAGAATGCACGGTCAGCGTAGCTGTATTTGCTGGAATTTTCTGTCTTCTAGATACAACGATAATTACAGGATGCCGCGCCTTACTCGATTGTGCGCTGTCTTTAAGCGCAGCGTTCTTTCAATGCGACAGCCTCGAGATATCATGAGGTGAAATTGAGAGAAGAATATAGCTTTAAAAAAAGAAAAGAAAAAAGATATCATCACATATCATCACCAGTACCTTTCCCAGCTATTTTTTCTGAGTAGAGGGGTTTATATATACAGGCCCCACTCTCAGGAAGTACCGGGGTGCCATTTCGCTGGATCCATCCACGCAAAACTGGTTGCATATCCATCCAGGCAGCCGTTGTCTGGAGCTGGCATCTAAGGGTTTGGGAAGGATTGTTTCTATACAGCTCTACTTGATCATAACAAGACAACTCATGTGGACTTGTTCCTTCTCGACGTCTATGGGGTTTTTATTCTCTACCCTCTCAGCTTTTAGGTTGCCAGGTACTCCATATCTTATCTGCACTGCTGTTTCTGCTTTTTTTTTTTTTTTTTTTTTTTGACAAGCCAAATAAGAGCAATACAATGAACTCAAATGTCGCACTCTCGCCACATCAACACAGTATTCAATGTGGCTCTCTCTTAAACCCTAAACCCTACGCTTTTCGGGGCATCTGTTGTACGTGGTTTGTACTTCTGTCTTTTCCCTGAGGGAGCTATTCCCTAGTCTTCTACGGTTTTAGCCCATCCTTTTAGTACCTAGTTCACCGAACAGTTAAATGTGCCTGTGGTTCCGTTGGTTAGTGGAGGTTGTACCGTTAGTCCCCTCCTTCCAGTTCTATGTGTGGCTATTATGGATTAATTCAGGCCTAATGTCATGCCTGTCAGATGGGTTGAAAAAAAAAAGAACCTGCTAGCATGCGAGACCTGTTTTGCCTTGATGGATATCCAGTCAATATCCAGTCAAGCACTATACCAGCTGCAGGATTGCATTTATACATCTGAGTCATTTTCGTCCTGGTTCGTTATGGCAGCTGGAAGGGTGAAGGCAGGGTCTTCTAGGGGGGCGGGCAGTGCTTGCAGGCGCAGGACCGGTACTGGCGTCGGTCCAAGAGAGAAAACAAAACGGCAAGGCCCCCCAGGGCCTAAAACTTAAACCACCAGTACTTGGCCCAGCTATCAGCTGTGGAAAAAATAGAGTAGAAACGTTTTTAGTTGGATGAATATGGGCGCTCCTGTTGCAGCGTGCCTCTGGCTGCCCTGGCCTAGAGCAGGGCTATTTGGCTATTTTGCCTGTTCGGCCTGTGGGACCAAGCCGTGGCCTGATCCCACAGGCCGTATATTCATTCAGTCCAGTCCTGTGACGAACTATCTTCTGTAATCGCGCGACTTCCTGCGCAGACGGTTTTAGTTGGATGAATATGGGCGCTCCTGTTGCAGCGTGCCTCTGGCTGCCCTGGCCTAGAGCAGGGCTATTTGGCTATTTTGCCTGTTCAGCCTGTGGGACCAAGCCGTGGCCTGATCCCACAGGCCGTATATTCACTCAGTTCAGTCCTGTGACGAACTATCTTCTGTAATCGCGCGTCTTCCTGCGCAGGGCTGCTGTGGGGAAACGGGAGGATCTTGATGAATGACGGGGCGCAAGCGGGATCGGTGGGGCAAGTTGCCTGGATGCCCTCGCTTCCTTTTTTTTGTTTTCGTTGGAACTGTCGGGCCGGTGCCGGGAAGGTCCCGCGCCGACGATTAAGTAGCCGCGCCCTAGCGAGCACGAGAAGTAACGGTTGCCATAGCTTCTTTCTTGTTCTGCTATGCGCACTAGGAATTTTGGCGCGATCAGCGCGCAGGGATTTTCGTTTTTGAAATTCGAACTAAGGTCGAGCCTCCCCCGCAGGCTCTTGGAATTGTTTTTCTTTCCTTTCCTTCTTTTTCCCTTCGGGATTTTCTCTTGCAATTAGGATTTAGACTAGGAATTTAGGCACTTTGTAATTTGGCGGTACGGCGCTTCTTGCTCGCACGCGCCGTGACCCGACAGGGTCTGGGCTCTGAATCCATCCGCACCTTAATCCAGTGTGTAACTGTAGTTTTTGGTGGGCGCAATCGCAACTGTAATCTTCTTGTTCTTGATAACCCTTTTTCTTCTTTCCCGCCTCATCTTTGCATGCACACTCTTCCTCTGTTATGAGTGGTTCCAAAGGTTGCATGCCCGGATCGATGCGCGGAGAGAGGCTTCGTCCCCCGCACCGCGGCCTGGGCATGCAGACGTAGGCACTCCCTCCCTTCTCTTTCTCATCACTTGCTTATCCCGTATCCCACGCGCAAGCATGCATGCTATAAATTTCGCAAACGCGATTAGTTCGCTGTCTAACCTACTTGGGAGTTAGCGCGGGCCAAGAGGATCGGCTAACGAGCAGAAAGACGGTGAGTAGAGAGTCGGGCGATCTGACGAGTTGGCGCTGAGTGCGCGGGGTTGACGCGTGGCCGCGACGGACTGTGGCGCGTGGGTGAACCTGGCTTGCATACTCCGGCCAAGCGGGGTGACGATTCGGGTTGATGTTGGGGGTGTGGGGTGACGGACTGCCCGCATCGAGAGAGATTGAGAGAGAGAGAGAGAGAGAGAGATGGGGATATGGTGGAATAGTGTTTGTTCTCCCTGTTCTCTATATAAATTTTGATTTCAATGTTGGTCAGCTTTCTCTTTTTGCTGTGGCATCTTTTTGGAATCTCTTGAGTAAATCATCTCGGACTTTTTATTGTATGTATGTGTGCATGAATAATGGTGAATAGACTTGCGTCCTTTTTCTTTGAGTTGTCTTTTTTATCAATGATTACGGAAACTGCTGGGTGTGGATGCTTGTGAACATCCAAATAGTCCTTTCCATCACAGAAACAAGATTGATTGCCTAAGGAAACTAGCTGCAGGGTTGAACCGGTACGCTGACGGATCGCTCCCTGTTTATTTGCGCAAGTTTAGAATTTGATCAGTTGGTCGGTGCGCGTGCACGCGTAAGGCAGCAGCCGCTCGCGGACTTGCCGTCTACGCGCGTGCCTACAAAAGCCAGCCACGACCCCGTCCCATAAGAAGATGTGTACACAGGGATTCGGTTGAATGGGACATGGCGATAGATTCTCCCTTTTGGGTCACCGATCACGAAAGCCTGAGGGACCCAAAATATCGAACGTATTGGGAAAGGGAACAGATCCGTCGGCAGCGAGCCCGACAACAACGCCACTTACGGAACCGAGGATATCTCGAGTACCCTTGCCGAACTGAAAATGAGCGACTGCGCAGAGGCGATTTCCAGCTGGCAATCAACCGAGACTCGCGGATTCTCGATTATCCCGACAGCCGAAACCAGCAATATCTTCTAACCCCAGGCTTCGTCGCCATCACCACCGACTTCCCTCCCTACTATACCGTTCTCCCCTACCACCAGTTACTCGTGATCCCCTGGGATTCCATAGCCCGGTTCTGGCCCCGCCCGCCGTGTTCAGAGTGTCGGCAGCCCGCCGAGTATCGGCAGGTGAGGGTCACACAACGAACCCAACCCAGGGCAGAGCGACGAGAACCCGACTCGTCTTCGTTGGACCCCGAGACCTGCGACGGCCAACAGCGGTACGAGCACTCCGACAGAGACACTCATAGCACCCCACCCCGACCCAGACCGCACGATCGACAGTCGCCCCAACTCTGAGCCAGAAGACACTTGCACTTCTACCCCTGGAACTCGACACAGGAGATTCCAGTTCCGACCTGGAACTCCGCCCCCACTTTCCTAAAATCCTTGGCACACCCCCTTTTTCGCACTTCCGGGTCCCCATCCCACTCCGATCAAAAAGTCGCGCTGGGCGTGAGGTTGGGCGTCACAGTCCAGTCATGCCCGGTACCACTGTCGGTAGTCCAGTCCAGTCAGTCCGCTTGGGGTATACCCCAGCTGCAGTTTGTTTCAGTCTCATTCTTCATTTGCACAGTTTGGAGTACGTGCATGTTGAGTCTGCGTTGGAGTTGCGTTGTCCCTTCCAGCTCTAACTCCATCTGCCTCATCCTCATCCCTTCGTCTTGAT